TCTGCTTCTCTTGCTGGGACAGAGGTCTCATCACTAAATGCAATTCCTATAGATTTGGTAAGAAGCTGTCACTTGTCAGTCTTCAAAAGCCAATGTTGTACTCTGAGCATCGTTAACAAATAATAATGAGGATCTGGAGGCTTGTTTTTTTCTTTTAATCATCTTGCTGAAATGGCTGTCTTGTAGATAATTAAAGTATGATATTTCAGTGTATAATGATATACAGCGCTGAAGCAAAGCATTTGCTACTTGTAGTTAGAACTGGTTGATCTGTCACTGAAAGTACCTTCCTGGGAAGACAAGACTGGAAGGGCTTTTCTGGCTCATGGAGTTCAAAGCTTGGTTTCTGCAGAGCTTTTCCTTCTTGTGTGTTATCATATATTGTCTTCAAGTAGTTTGGTTTCTTTCTCCACCTCTGGCATCTCAGATGGGGATTAACTTCTTACTGCCTGTATCATTACCATCATAAAATATGATCTGTTCGTGTTCTACTAACAGTGCGTGAGTTTGATAAAATTTAAATTTATTTACCATTTTACAGTAATTTTTTCACATTTTTTTCTATAATAGGAAAATATGCTTACAAGTACATTTCTTTGACTAAGTAAAATGCCATCAAAACTAGTAGGAAGAATAAATAAATTAGAAGCTTAGTCTTCTGGCTTTTGCAGAGTTTCTTTATGTGCTTGAGAGCTTTTATATACTATCTGTAGTTCAACTGATCTGCAGCAACAGGGTCTCAGATGGGTATTAATTCTCAAAGCTTACTGGGAGAAGGAGCTACTCTGAAGTTGTAAAACCTTATTTGACTTTGTGTGTTAACTTTGATTTTTAATTTGTGCCTTGTGGTTTTCATGTTGGGTCAAGGAATAGAAGAAAATTAGTGTTTAGGGAGGGAATGGCATCTGCACAGGAAAAATTTGTAGGTTCATTTAAGACATCAAGAGAACCTTCTCATAGATTCATTCTCTCCCTTCTTCCCAGAAGTGCTTCTCAGAGAAATGTATTTAAATATATTTATCTGTTTCTGAGGTAGTTTCTGTGTTGAGATGTGCCCTCTTAATTTCGAGTTCAAGAGTGAGAAGTTAAAAAGGACCAACATTTTACACAGCTTTAAAGTTTCAGTAATCCAGTTTATGTTAACAGCTAGTGATATAAATGGAGGTAACAATTTCTGGAATTTTTCACTTTTCTAGTAATCTGTTTTTCATTGTGGTTTGTAAGCACTAAGGTCAGTGCTTATGCTGTCCTAGCTTTAATGGTACACTGGAGCGAAATAAATTGCAGATTATGGCGGATGCCATTAGTAAATGAGATTTCATGAGCTTTGCTGTGGCTTCTTTTCACCACCTCTACAGCTGCCTGCTCTGCCTCTGCCAGGTGTTTCTGCCCACGCAGCACAGTTGGCAGAGCAGATGAGTGCCTGTGCCTCACTTCACAGAATGCAGTCTGACATGTTAGCTTACATTGCAGATGAGCAGGGCTTCTAAGTTGAAGATGAAATCAGTTTGCAGTAAAGCAGCTTCTAAAGCTGTTGTTAGAATGCTCCCTCTTGGGAGAGGGGCAGAGTAGACAGCTCCAGGCATGAACACTTTAAACATTGCGGTAAGAGGCAGAGGTTTGGCAAAATTCTACCTTTTTTTTTTTTTAATTATAGCTGATAGTGCTGGAGGATGTGTAGGATCTCTGCAATTGGCCTTTGTAAGTTTGCAACCCTGGATAGCTTCCAAATAGACACCTTGAAATGCTTGCACTTGCAACTACTATAAAAATCAGCCAAAGTCATTCTTTCAGATATGTCTTTCCTGACCTTGAGCTTCAGTTTGTAAGACCTTGGGAAAAAAATACAGCCAAAGACTGTAGTAGCTTCTTGTTCTTGTTAGGCTACATTTGCATTTACATGTAGACTACTTAAAGCAAGGCTTTTTCATTTACCTTTTGTGGCAAAGAAATCCCAAAGTCAGGGTTGTGTGCATCTCAGTAGCTTCTTTCAAATCAGATCAGGAAATGTTTTAGTTGCTTTGAATTTTTAAATTTTGTTAGCACAGAGGTTTCATTATATCAGAGGATAAATTGTATTGCAGCTACTTCTCAGCATGGGATCATTCAATTAATGCTCTGAATTCAGACAACTAAAATTGGGAAGTAAGTTAGCTTTGCAGTTCAGATCAAGCTAATTTCATAGTTTTGTTTGTACTAGATTGATGCACATTTTTAAGGCCAAAGCAGTTTTTAGATTCACCTTTACTTGGTTTGTGCAGAAAGTTATTTGCATGTGTGAAATGTGCTTGGAATATGGTCTGCAGCTGACAGTACCTTTAACCAAACAATATGTTCCCATATCATCCTGATTTGAATGGTACTTAATTTCCATGTCCTATTCATAAACTTCCCCTAGAGCTGGGTAATCTGACCATGGTGAGTTGACCTTTGGCAGGGAACTTAAATATACAGGGGAAAGTTTTCATCCAAGAGCATTGCAAGAGATGTGACAAAAGTTTTGCTTCTCTGAATATAAGAAATTAAAATAATTGGGTAAAAGAGAAGTGGTTATGCTGGAAACTTCTAGTCTGGTGCTGGAAACCTTCTGGAGGTAAATTCTTCTGATAATTTGTCTATAACCCCAAAAAAAACCAAAACAAAACAAAAACCAAAAACAAACAAAAAACCATCAAAAAACAAAACACCCAAACGCCCCAGGAAAGCTACTTTTTGAGATAGGAAAAGAGAGTGGTCCAAGAGTGTGATCTGACTTCGAGTTGGGGAGAAGTTTAGTTTTGAGTGGAATAGCACTGCCTGTGTTTTGAGTAAATCAAATCTTCTTTCTCTCTGTTTTTCAGTACAGAGTGCCAAATGTCACTGATGCCAGTATTTGAAGAATGTAATGTTCATGTGCATTGAAAAATGTCATGCTTGTATATCTACTTAAAGTATTTAAATATAAATTCAGTAATATGTAATTTTGAGACTACAGGAAAGATGTGCTGATGTTTTGAAGCCTTTTTTTTCTCTGTAGAATTCAAAGAGGATGTAAAATCTGCAACACCTTCTTTATTTTATCAAGTGGAAGAAGGTAGTCAGGATATCATTCCTTTTCTACTTTGAATTTTTATGAACTGAAATACATTTTGAGTTGGTAGCTTCACAAAGCATAATGTTGGTCTGTTTATAGTACAGCAGTTTGAAATGCAGTGTCTTTCTAGACAGCCTCAGTGAGTGCTTATGTATGTAATACTTGCAAATGAACAGGAACTGATGATTTTAGTTCTATGCAGGTTGCATTTAAAATTGTTACATATTTGAACATTGCTGTTTCATAGGTTCCTACTTACCACTGCAGGAATGTTTTTCAACACTTTGTGTAGTTCTTGCTATTGAAGTCTGCTAATATTAGAGGAATAATTTGAGATGTGCCTGAGCAGGCTATTTTTGCATGCCTTACATGCATAGTGAGGCATGAGACCAGTCATCTGTTTTCTGCCAAGAGTGCATTGTTAAGATATCAGCTTGTATTAATGACTGATACTATCAATCTTAAAAAGCAGTATCTTACTATGGAAATACTAGTTACATATTTTTGAACTAGGAAAAATAATTTGCTAGCTGAGTAGTGCAAGTACTGCTTTCACTTTAAATATACTAAAATTCTGCTCTAGCTAATGTCCAGTCATAGACAGCTGCTGGGACCATGAGCTGCTCATTGTGACCAAGACTGGGCTTTATTGTTTTGTTTTCATCTTGAAGGAATTTGGAGATCTGCCTTGGAAAGGACTAGATCACCAGTAATAAGCAGTATAAGCATTATATACCTTTCAATAGACTGTCTTTTTGGAAGAATCTATGTGGGGTCATGTGCTCATTTGCAATTTTCTTAAATAGTTTCTAGCATAATAAAGCTTCAGTGTGGTTTTCAAATCGCTGTTCAAATGCCTCCTGGGTTATTTTATTTTCTCTGCTATGTTATTGTTCCATTTATAATATGCAATAATAATAAAAATATGGAGAGGTATTTTATACTTTTTATTCTCTTTTAATGGGAATGGGAACCTATCTCTCTTCCATGAAGGTATTTGTATATTTCCTTAATGTGCTCAGTTGTACATATAAAGAAAGGTGTTACGGAAAATGCTATTTAAAGAGAAGGCCTTAGTTTCTATATTGAGTGGTGTCTTTTTAGAGGCTAGAGATTTATTATGAAGGCAACAATATATAGTTTGTTGATCAGTTTTGATTTTTTTCCTGGAGGTAGTCATAATGCTGAAGTGTATGTTTATCTTGAACTAAGTAAAGAAAGTGGAGGATGATGATAAAGCACTCAAAGTGTCATTTCAATAAATGTACCTGTAATAAATAAACCTGTACTACAGAATACAGATTTGTTAGTCCCTGATAGTTACAGTGCCATTAGTATTTTAGCCCTAAATGCCAAATGTGGCATCTCATAGTGCTGTGAGGTCTGTCTAGTTAATATAGTCCTCACTGTGGCTCAGGCTCACATTGAAGTGAGGTTTCTTTGTAGCCGTTCCTATTTTACTGACTTTTCACTTTGTTATTGAAAGTAATTTCTAAAAAAGGTATGCATGGCCTTCTTAATTTTTTTTTTTTTTTTTTTTGCCACTTGAGCATTTGTATGGAGGATGAGGTGTTGGGCCAACTAGTTACTTTACCTTCTGATCTTAAGCACTTTTTATTATATGGGGCTTTGACAGAGATACTGTAAGTTAATTAAAACTGACATTACGAGTCTTTTTTTATGATAGCAGTTTTTTGGAACATGTTTGCCTTTTAGTGTGTCATATACTTCTGTGTTTTCCTTTAAGAAGTTCACTTAAATAGTATAATTTCATATTCTTGGAAATAATTGAAGCTTTTTCCTTGGAAGCATGTTGCCTGATTTAGCTAAATTGAAAGCAATGAAAATGCTGTAATGAAAGGAGTTAATATTGATCTTTGTGTATTAACATGATTGTCCTTTTTTGTTTTTGTTTTTTTTTTTTCAGGAGAGAAATAGAAACAAACAATAACTATATGGAGATGTCCTGCTAGAATACAACACTAATGATGTAGACTCTGGAAATGCCTAATATGTCTAAGAAGACGTTATTAAAGCTTTTTTCTGCTTAAGGTGACATCTTTGAACACTTTAACACGAAATTGACTCTTCTTGTAATGGTTCTCATCAGTGCATCTGCCCTTATACTCTCTCACCAAACACACTTGAGAACTGTACCTTCGTCAAGCACTTTCTGTCCTGAAGCTTTTACCAGTATCTGCTGTCTTTTGTATTTATGCATCCTAGCTAAGGCACAGGAGACCGAACGAATGCAAGGATTCATTAACTCTTTGAATTTGTTAAATACTAACATTTAACCATTAGAAGTGGTTCAATGATGTGAGATTCACATTGCTTCAACTTAATTTTTTCTTTGTTGTAGTTTTTTTAATTGTCAGTTTTTAGCTATTCAACAGATTAAAAGCAAATCATGCCATATTTAGTCCTGGAGTAAAACTCAAGTCTAAATGTTCATGTGAAAATTATTGTAGTAATCTTTTAATATGGCAAAGCAACTTTAAGCTGCAGTTTAGCCAAATGAATTGTAACATGAAATTATAATAGAATGACATTTCCCTTGTTTCAAACTGTTTGGTGTAAGAGAATATTAATATGCAGCTTGGTGGACACCACCAGTTAATGCACATTTCTTTATTTTTTTTCTGTAACATGTATACTGAAAAAAAGTGCATTTGTCTGAGGAACTGTTTGTTTGCTACCACTCAATGAATCTCAGTTTTGAGTAAATGTACCTCAGTCTAAATCAGACTTTTTATGACCTTTATAACTACATTTAAAATAATCTTTAATTCCTATTTCTGGGTGTTTGCAAGCCTGACAGATTGCTATCATGAAAGTGAAAATTTACTCCTCTAGGTGATTCACTAGCTAAATAAACATAATTCTTGTTTAGCAAGCATATACTCTGTTTCTCAAATTTTTTTGTTTCATTGTGCCAACATTGAGGTGTTTTTCCCCATTTGAAAATATTTTGAGAAAAATACTTTGGTCCATGGAGTTGACATGTTGATAACCATGTTGAGATGATTTTTGTTAGAACCATGCAACAAGAGTTATAGAATACATATTAAATGTGCCAGCTCTATAGTAATTTTTAACCTCTAAAGAGTATATCTTCTGCTTCAATCAGTATAGCAACACATTCTCTCTGCTGGAAGAGAGTATTGAAAAACTTAAGAGGGTGTATTGACTGTACAAATTACTGAACAACCTGTACCAAACTCCAGGGATAGCTTTCCCTTTTTAGAGCAGCGATGTAGAAGTCAGATATCTTATAGCTTAAAATAGCAGTAGCACATATTATTTGAGCATGTTTCATATCTTACTGTCCAACACAGATGTTTATATTGTGTTTCAAGTCCTTTATTTACATATTTTAGCAGTCAAAGTTCTGGAGCTTAAGTAGCAAGGGTTTGTCTTTAATACAGATGATTTTGCTGGCTTTCGCTTTCTCTCTTCTTAAGCCCTTTGCACTCTTGCAATCATGCAAACACAAGAAGCTCAGTGCACACTTCTTACTCATTGTTTTAAATATTGTTAAGAGACTGCAGAGTAGCAGATACGAATCTTAATTTTTACTGCCAGTTATCTGGAAGCTCGAAAGGGAGGCTACTCCTGAATTTTGGAGTAAAGATACCATGTCAGTTAAATGTTAGTGTGTCATAAATAGCAAGTGGGATAAGGGAGGGATAAGCCAAGTGCATATTGTAAGTCAAGACTAGGAGACAAAGGTTTCAAGCCCAATCCCTATGAAATTTGGCTTCAGCCCAAAAATTACTGCTTCCATGTGTATCTGTTTCTTACTAACAGGTTTTAGAGCTATTTGTTTCCCTCTGTGGGCTAATTTATTTGAGCTGTCATTGATCAGCTGAAGTGGCAAAGGTCAGTGTAGTGAGTCCAAAGGATGTAAGTTCGTCTGTGATCTCTCAAGGTATCAGCATGTTTCTTCTTCTTTGTTACAACAATATCTTACAAAAATTCCCAGAAGTTCCCAGTTACCAGAAAGCTAATGTTGGAGTCAAGTGTTCAGGAACTGATTGCATGTGCAACCCTAGTTTGCTTTCACTGCAGTATTCACATTTTTGCAGGCTTTGTTAATATTACCTGCCTTACCCCATGCCTTTTTTATTCTAATAGCATGAACACTGCTCTTATATTGAATCAGGTTTAGCATCAAGTGGGTTCATCGCTCTGTTGCAGGCTTTGAAAGCTGGAAAGATGAGACAGGATTGTGAGAGAAGGAGGTGATCACATTTAGAGAGCTGTGACAGTTCTTACACTGTTTCAGGATTGTTAGCAAATCTACAAATAGAAGAGTTTGATTGCTGATGGTGTTAGTCATGTTGTGACCAATTTGCTGAGAGTTTAGTATGTGCAGCTGAAATTAAAAGGAATTCTATGTGCATATAAAGTACTGTAAAAATAGTATATAACATTGTAAAATCAGCTGTGGAGTGCTGTATTAGTTAATGGACATGTGAAGCTTCTAATCTTCAGCTTCCTTATGCACAAGTTCTTTTCCTCCAGAAAGAAAAGGAATGGTGCTTATTATCTCAAATAAATGTAGAAATGCCTTTTTTTGGTCTGATTTTTCAATATGGTGAAGGTTTTACAATGCTTGCTTTCTAACTTGCTAATGGAGGAGTCAGTGGAACCCCTTTACTGTTCCTGATGCCTCCTCCTTTGTGCCAGTCTTTGTTTTCCTGTGATTCAAACTGAGCCAGTTCAAGCCATTTTCTGCTGCTTTAAGGGTTTTCTAGTTCTCTGTGATTTTATCTGTTTAGAAGGGAGATGGTGGGAGGGTAAAAAAGAGATTTGTTCTTTCAGAAGCAGGTACCCACTGTTGAATTGCTTAGCTGCACTAGAACTACACATCTGGCGTTGGCGAGACAGAGGTGCAGTAGAATATTTAAAAGTGGGAAAGGTTCCCCAGGGGGGAAAAAAAAAAAATCAATTCTGTTTCCAGTGCAAGATTTTGGTAGTGTACAAGTGAGATATGATGTTGTCATATATTTAGTGATACAAGGAGGAGGGAGTAAATGCTGAGTATTCTCCATTTTGATTACTTCTTCCAGTCTGAGGAGGCCTAAGAGTTGCCATAGAAAATTGCTTTGGAAAAGCTTGTCCTACCAACACAAGTGGGAAAAACTAAGATTGTAAGAGTTTTGCTCACCTTTGAGCATCTGACTTTGTAACATCAGCATCTTTCATGTAGTGTTTTTGATAATTGACAGGAATAATTTCTGTCAGTTGAGCGTGCACATTGCTTGCTTAAGAAAAACATGAGCACTACTTTATTTTGAGGGACTTGGATTGAGAAAAAGTCAATATTCATAACTAGACAAATTTTATTTCTTCAGGTATTTTGTTATTCTGTGCTTAATTTATGAAGTACTGACTTCTCGACATCCTCTTTCTGCTTTTTTTCTTTTTGGCTACTCTGGCAGTTTCAATGTTCACTGTCTGCAAAATGTAGATGCATGCCAAAATTATTCTTATTCCAGATAAATCTATGGCACCAAACAAAAGATAAGTCGAGGTCAAGTGCAGATAATGTAATATTTGGGAGGAAGCATCTTAAATATTTTTCATTGTTTAGTCAAGTTCTATTTTGAAGTTGCTTTCTATTTCATAGGAGAATTAGCACACTCAAAGTATATTTACAGAATGGGTCACATTGGAAGGGACCACAGTGGGGACATCTGGTCCAACCATCCTGTGTGATCAGGGTCAACCTAGAAAATTCCTAATTAAATCAATGTGTTTTTCCTAGCTGAACCTGAGTTGAAGCAACAGTGTTTTGAATTCTTTAAGTCACAGTTACCTTAATTTTTCAGAATTATTGGTGACTTTCACCAGGATTTCATCTTCATCTGAGTCTAGTGCAGTGAAAATCCAGTGGAGACAGTTTTTGAATTTTCTCCAGCACTTTTTAAAAAATTAATAATTCTAGGCATTCAAATGCAAACCCCCTTTAGTAGTGGCTTTGCAAAGCCATTTCTACTAATTTTTCTTTCTATTTAGTTAAGGAAATACACAAAGATTTTCAGTATCTTGTTTATCCTTTTGTTGGGTGAAGAGCCATGTAATTTACTGATAAATCGAGATCAAGAGAGTGGTTCTTTCGCATCTAGGTGTAGCAAACTGCAAACTTGGTTTCAATTTTGGGTTTGTTTTGGGGTTTTTTTTTGTTGTTTTTTTTTTGTTTGTTTGTTTGTTTTGTTTTGTTTGTACCATTACAGTGTGGTGACATAGATGAGTTCTTTAACATGAGAGTTGACCATTGGATCTTATTTAATATGTTTAAAAGTTTCCTCAGAAGAAACCTGTTCACATCCTTTGTTGTTCTATTTTTCACCTGATACATTTAGTGTAGTTCAGCATGGGAGAGGAAAGAATTTCTCTGTGGGTCATAGGAATTCTAATTAGTTTGGTCTCATATACAAATACTGGTGTACAGCTGGCAGACTTTCCTCAAAGCATCTATTCTATTCTGTCTGTTCTACTTTACATATTTTAATAAAGTGCATTTTAATATGATGAATATGAACTTTCAGTTCACAAATTTAAATTTGTATCTAGTCCAGGCTTTCAACATTTCTCTTCTCATAATGATATGAAGCATTCTTATTAATGATACTGTTGATGTCCAGGGTTCTTTAAGCAAAATAATAATAAAATTTGCTGCTTATTAATATTAGGAGGTGCCTAATGTTTGTGTTATCTTTTATTTTCTCTCTTTGTCCTACCTGCAAGTGAAAATGCAACAAACAGGCGTCATTGACCAGTTGGATGTCTTCTCCAATCAATTTAGCTATGTGTTTACCAATAAACTTGTTCTGCCACACTGCAGGCAGAGTGCAGATGGGTGGGTCTTCATGTTCTTCCTCCAGCAGTCAATTCTCAGTTAAATGATCCAAGAGGCAGTGGATTTCTTTATCCCATCTAAGTAAGCATTCCTTTCTAGTTTCCTACCCTTTCTGTGAAAACTCCACTGGGTATGTCTGCCAGCTGTTGCCTTTGAATGTCCATAAGGGAAGCCTGACTTTGGATCCTGTTTTCATAATCTACAAAAAAGTTCCTGACTTCACTAGTTTCTTTCTCTGGAGAGAGGAAGTCTTCTGACTGAGTTTAGCTTGTCTCAGTCTGCCTTGTTTGCTCCAATGTGGATAGAGAAATACTGCTTTTATAACTGGATTCATTCAGCCTCCTATGTGGTGTATGCCATTTTTTAAAGTTAACTGCAGCATTTTCCTTCATAAGGTGGAAACAGATACAGTATTTCATTGGAATTTAAGGACATGGTAGTTAAAATACAAGGGTCCACTTTTAAGTGTTCTTCTGAGGTTCAGTGCTGGTGATAACCAAAGTGTTCACAGTAAGAGTTTATAAGCTGTTTGCATATCCTGTGTGCATTTGCAGTTGTCATCTTAACATCCTTTGCCTGTTAAATTAGTTTGTAACTCTTGAGAAACCTAACTTTTTTATTGTTGCTTTGAATATCATCCACTCTGGCATACCATAACTTTTCATCTGCCTGCACAAGTTTATGTGCATCTTGGGAATGACGTGGATGTTCATGTGAAATGAAATAAGATACTCTAGATCAATGACTGTATTTAAGTTGAACTTTTGGACTTCCAAATGTACAAGCTCTCTTGATTTGTGCCCTCTTATGTAAAGCATTACACTTTCATCTTGAGCTCTGAATTTACACATCCTTTCTTTCCTGTTCTGCAAACATCTGAAAGAACCTCAGATGTTAGAAAAAGTAATTCTCCCTTCATGCTTAGTCCAGGAATAAGAATTTCCAAACTAAGCATTTCAGCAAGCTAAATGGAGGTTTAGCTTTAGTTTGAGCTAAGCTATTACATTTCAGCAAAGAGGTGAGATTAAAGGTTGTGGATCATTCATTACCTACTGTAATTGTATATCTACTATTAAAAAAAAAAAGCTGAAATTTTATTTTGCAAGCATTAATAGATGCAGCTGCTGTTCAGTGTTACCCAAGAATCCTAACAGGATTTGCATCAGTTTGGATTAGCAGCTTTGTGAAATAGATGGTGAGAGCGCTGGGATCTCTTCTTACAGAAGTAAAGAATAGTTAAATTGGTTAAAATTCAGATGTTTGCGGTGTGTGACTGGAATACATTGGATGTTAAATCTAACCCTCTGGAAAACATGGCTACTAAATGTTTAGCATAATTTTTTTTTAACTTAAATTGACTACCTGTTTGTTTTCAGCTGCTCAACTGATTTGCAGCTCAGTTCTCATGAGATGCTTCACTGGGTCTTGTGAGTGTGGTGCTTCATCAGAATATGTATAAAACTGTATTTAATTTTGTCAAGTTAATGTAATTGCTATTAACTTGATCTGTATTCCATCCAACTTCATATTTGATGATAATGCTTGGTCTTTCAGTTGTATTGATCTTTAATTTCAAGAATATCACATACAGAACAATTCAGATAATTTTTTTAGTTACTGAAATTTATGCTTATTTTAAATGTTAATAAATAACTGTCATTATGCTCTTTGGGTTGCTGGTGAGTATTGATGGGTTTTTTGAAAACTGAAAATCAAAGATGGAGACAGGAATGCTTGTCTTGGCCAGTAGATGAAATGCTGGAATACTGAAGAGAACTTACAGCTGTATGAGACAGAAGATATTAAACAGCCAAGAGAGTTTTGTAAAATTGGTCTTCATTCTCTTTTTAGTGTAGCTGGAAGAATCTTTTGAACAAATAATTAAGTACATTCACAGGGTCCAGTTGAATTCCTAAACTGGTCTGCATGCAGCAAGTTTTTTATTCTGTTTTTCCCCCCCCATTTATCACATCTCTTTTGCTTTTTACTTTGCGTTATGATTTTGCTCTTGGTCTTACATTAGTTTACAGTCTTACCTTGCTTTCCAGTAAAAAGTTCCCTGATTAATCCTTTCTTTTAGTAAGCAGTGTATTTTGCAAGACTTGGAATGTTAGTTTTGTTTAGAGCATTGGCTGTTCCCCTGTCACAAATCATTGCTGCTGTGCTAGGCTTAGCCAGCTGATCTCATGGTCAGTAACATTTCTATTCCTACTTTTGTTGGTTATCTGAAGAAGTTACTCAGTTACTAGTTTTTCTGAGAATAATAGTTGGAGGAGGCTATAGTGATGGGTTGCATCATTTTTATTCTCATACTGATTAAATGACAAGACAATGAAAAATAAGCTTTACATTAAAAAAATATTGATGTTGTCCCACACAAGCTATGTTTTGAACACTTTGCAGCTTAACTTTCTGTTTAGTTTTCTCTGTGCCAAATCTGTTTTAATGGTGTTCAAGACTTTTTAAGTGGACTGAAAAAGTTTGTAATGCTGCTTTTCTGCGGCATTACAAAATGATGGAGTTTCTCACTTACTGTCTTTATATCTAAGAGTAAGGTTGCAGTCTCATTCAGTGAACCTGCCTGCTTGCTTTGTCTGCAACAGAAATTTCACGTGGAAGGATGCCATGAGTTTCTACCCTCTTGTGGTGTTTTTCTCCCATTCCTTGCAATTCAATTAATCATAACTATGGTATGTAAAAGAACAATGAGCTGCTGGTGCATTTGGGTGAAACAAGTGGGAGGGATAATGGGAAATCTTTCAAAAAAATTTGAAACAGATGAATTGTGTGGTATTTTCAACTATAAGGAGCAAATACACCGATAAAGCCTAAGGTTAAAGAAAATGGAGGAAATGCTGTCCAGATGTGCAGTTTTGCTATACATTTGTATGTAGGTTCAGTATGGAGCTAAGCTTCTCTTAGGAGTTTTGGGTATATTTGGTGCTTGTTGGGGCCTTTTTATAATTGAAGGAGTTTCTGACCTTAAATCTACAGTTCTAATTATTACTAAGAATAAAAATCTGGGGTGTTTTTTTTTTTTCCACTGGGGAAATGTTAATTTTTTTTTTTAAGTCAGAAGGTACTTTTCCTTGTCTACCTGTCCATCTAGAAATCCCTCAGAAAGACGTATCAGCAGTGCAGACAAGTGAACAATTAGCTGTGAGTTTATGAGCTCAGGGGCAATCTCCCAGACCATAAAGGGGTGTGCAAAGAGAAGCTGAGACTGAGGCGCTGGTGCCTGCATGACCCTGGAAGATAATGCAACTCACTTTGCAAGATAAGCCTATGAAAGGAGACTTGGAACAGGCTAAGCCCATGTCAGAGCTCTGATCAAATAACTTGCTGGTTTTTACAATTTTTTTTTTTCCTCAAAAGTTAAGGTACCACTGAGGCACAGACACCAGAGACCTCAGGTGAGACCATCCCTGCTGCAGAGTATTTGCTTTCCCTGAGCATTGGGAAAAAAACTATCCTCTGACTACAGACTGGCAATTAATGGTTTGATGAAGCACTGGGATAATGGCGTAATGGCGTGCCCAGAGCAGAATAGCTGCGTACTGTGATGTGCCATTAAGTCATTCATTATAATAAGATCTATTTATATAAATGAGTTATTTTTTCTTAAATTCTGGCATCAAAATACTGCTAGAGAAAGAGGAATTTATATTCACTTGGCAGTCAAATGATAATCTTGAATGTGATATTTTAAATCTTTTATTTCAGCAAACATTGGTGTGCACAAATTTCTTCACTTTGTATTTTTTTGAGAAACAGGTCCTCAACTAGAATGCACAAATGTAGTACAGTAATTTTTACATTTCTACTTAGTCAACCACCAGCAGGCATAAACTCATCTATATTTAACTGATAATATGATAATCCTATTATAATAAATCACATTTTCTACAGGAGACTTGAAGGACATGCAAAGGGTGAGATGCTTTAGACTTCACAAAGGATGTCATTGGACTTAAATGCTTCTAAATAAAACTGAGGAAATGGGGATAGTTGAAAGAAGAATATGCTGACAGCAAATATTTTTGTGTATGTAGTGGGAAAAGGGTTAAATAGAAGTCAGTAGTGGTGGGATACATGGAAATCTTAGGGAAAGGACCGTGAAAGTAGAGTGTTAGGGACTGAAAAGGGTTTAATGATGTGGTACAGTTTGAGCCAATGATAGAGAATGTGCAGAAATGGCTGCAAATGGGTCTTTAAATAAAATTGTTGATAATAATTAAGGACTTTTGAGTCTAGAATTTGATCTGGGAGAAACAATTTTAGTACAAGTATTCCATCACAGTAGGAGGGAAGAGGTGGAAATACATGAGCATGCTCCCAGGATGGCTGCAGTACTCTGCTGGTTGCACCTTTCCTCAGAAAGGTAAGAGCTTGACCTTGAGTAACATCTGCCTGAGGAAGGAAGTCAAAAGGGAGACATCCAGGTTGGTAAGTAATTTACCCTCTGATCTGCTAGCAAAATTTAAATAAGGATGAGCTCTGTGCAGCTTTTCAAAGAGAAGAACTGCTGAGTCTTAAGGAAGACTAAACCTCTGAGTACGAAATTTTTCAGGAGAGGTTTAAGATTAAGTTTTAGCCTTCCCCTGTCATCTCTCTCACATCATGAATAATAAAAGGCTCATTGTTGGCAGATTTGGATCCAGTTATGTAGGTCTCTGCAATCTGTATGGAATGCTCTGGTATTGCAGAGAGTTTTGAGGCCATGTTCTTTTTAATCACAAAGCTTCCCAGACTTATGATGAGCCCAAAGTCCTTGGCTAGTAATGTCACAAAGACTAATACCCAATACAGATCAAATTAAAATCTTCCTGTATTTTTGACACAAAAAGGCATGCCTGTATTGGCATCTTCTATCCCAATAGCTAAAGAAATGCACCAAAACTTTGGATGAAAAAATGGTGTATTAAATTGCACAGTGTCCATTGTTTTTCATTATTCTTTCTAAATCAAATTACTCTCAACATTTTTTGTTATTTAGTGTTAATAACATTATGCTCAAAAAAGAGTATAAAAATAGGTGCATGAAATATGTAAATAAAACTGAATGTCTTTCCTTTTTTTTTTGCTTATTTGTTATCTTCCCCGAACGAGGATCCAGAATGTATGAAAATACTTCAGTCCTAGGTTTTAATAAAGTCAAGGAGTTTGTTGCAAAAATATTTTTAAAACTTTAACTCAGCCTTTTTTGCAGTTGTTTTTTACAATTAATAAGAATCCATATGAGAGTTGGACCAAAATTCTGGCTAATCTGATACTCTGACCACAACCAATCATGAGAACAAGAAGAGCAGTGTGAGAGCAAGGAAAGAAGCTGCCCCCAGGATGCTCACCTAACCTCCAGTTTACTGAGACTTTCTGAATCAAGACCCTTCCTGCATATTTGGTTCATTGAATTATTTCAGTTGCTTTATGGTTTTTGGATTACATAAATAGTTGCTCAACACAACTTGAATAGACTCAAAAAACCTTTAAATAAAGGAAAATTCTGTAGCAAAGTGTATCATCTACAGTAGCAATATTGATTAATTTGAGAGCCAAGAACAAAAAAGTCCACTGAGATCTCTTAAAAGGACAATGTTAAGCTTGGTTTTTCTCTGTTAAAAAGAAATTACCAAATATGAAAAATTATCAAGATGATAAATGGTATGTTATTCTAGAGGCAAAATGGCATTTACATTGCAAGATTAAATCTAGGCTGCACTTGATAGAAATGTGGTTGGAAAGTTTCTGTTACTAGGTGTGTCTAGAAGGGCTATGCACAGACTTTTCACACTGTCTTCCCTTGGAAAATACCTCATAGTTCCAGCAATGTTACCTTTGGAGCATTTGGCCAAAGTTTTCATCTTTATATGCATTTGGTATTACAGAGGAAGCATTCTAAAGCAACCTACAGGAGAACTAAATATAGGAGTTAGATGGGGGCAGGTGCTGCACTCCCACTTAATCAAGTGCTTCTGTCCCTGTACAAAGACAAAATGTACTTGATGTAAGGTTAGTTACTGGTTTGGGTTTCTTCTTCCATACAGATTCTTTACATCATGCTCAGGCTGGGGCCTAGGCATACTGGCATAGGAAAACCTGCTCCCAGGTGAAAGTTGGGTCCTTTGCTTTCTCAAGTAATTACTTGAGAAAATACTTCCTGAAATAAAGTGCTTACACAACCAGGTTTTTCTCCCAGGAGGGGTGAGATGCTGCTGGGTATTGCCTCTTTTATTCTACAGATTTTACATATTATTTATATTTCTTTTTTCTTTTCTTCAGCTCAGGGTAGAGCACTTTTGTAAGAGATGGAATTTCAAGTGTACTGTAATTTACACAGAGCTCAGATTATTTTACTGCCACTACAAAGAGTTATTATTTGTGAAAGAAAACAGCTAGGATGGAAAAAGTCCTTTTTATACATTGTGGTCATTGGTTGTTACCTGTGCAAGTGCAGATCTAGTTGTCAGCTGTGTCAGGCACCTCTGCTGCCTGTGTGCTGTCCTCTACAGCACAGTTCTGGCCCAGAGCTTTGCTACTTGGATTGTTCTCAACCAGCTCAGCAGTACCCCTGGACTGCTGCAGGTTTCTGACTCACAGCTGGATCACACCTGGGAAGTTCAAAGAATCGGTTCAAATCCACTGGGTGAGCAAACAAAAAGATACAT